CACTACGGAGCCTTGGCCAAGGCCACACAGCAAGTTGAGGTGTATTCCCATCCAAATTCACAGCAGGGCCGGAGGGATTAGAGCTCCTCTGGGGTGTGAGGTGGTTGGGGTGTCACATTGTGGCTGCCCAGAGCTGACCTGAGCCCTTACCCACCCCGGGAAGCTGAAGACCCTGGAGAAGGATATAGCCGGCCAAGACGAGGACCACTTCATCACGGTGGACGCTGTGGGCTGCTTTGAGGGCGATGAAGAAGAGGAGGAGGATGACGAGGAGGAAGAAGAGATCGAGGTTGAGGAGGAATTCTGCAAGCAGGTGCTTGGGGAGAGGGGGCGTGGAAAGGAGGCTGGAGGCTGGACTCCCAGACCAGGAGAGACTTTCCCCTACCCCCCAGGGGCCAGGAGACACTGTGCTGGCATTTGCAAGCACAAAGACATGCCACAATCTAGTATTATTAGGAACTATCTTCAATATGACAACGTGTAAATATGCATCATGACAACGGTAGGGTGGCAGGTGAAATATGCAAGGTCTTGAAAGCCTGCCTGAAATTTTTTCTTGTGTTGTGGAAGAGAAAGGCATCCTAGGCCAAGAGAATAGCATCGCAGAGACATGGAGAGGGGAGCTACGTGGTCCATACAGGAAAGTCAGTGAAAGGTGGTCCATACAGGAAAGTCAGTGAAAGGTGATGATGGTGATGATGATGGTGGCGAGAGCAGTCAACTTTTTTTTTTTAAAGTACTTATTATCAAGCTCTTTACAGAGAAACCTTGCCAGATTGCCTGATTTTTTTTTTTTCTTTTTATTGTCAAATCGAAGGTCAAGTTTACATTTAATGACTTAGGTATTAACTATACACATACTAGTAAGTGCTAAGACTTAAAATCTTCCGATTCAGTTGTGACTCCAGACAGGATCCAGAGAGGAGGTCTAAAAATCTCTTCTCTGGGTTTTATGGAGATTTTCTTTACCCTCCTGTGTTAGCCTCTTAAGGCACTGCGTCAGCCTTAAGAGGGCAAAGGAAAGGGCGGATTGCCTGATTTTTAAAATAATTTTATTTATTTATTAATTTTTGCCTGTTCTGTGTCTGCATTCCCGCACAGGCTTTCTCTAGTTGTGGTGAGCGGGGGCTACTCTCTAGTTGGGTGCGCAGGCGTCTCATTGCAGTGGCCTCTCTTGTTGCAGAGCACGGGCTCTAGAGCGCCAGGGCTTCAGTAGTTGTGGCTCACAGGCTTAGCTGCTCCTCGGCATGTGGGATCTTCCTGGACCAGGGATCAAACCCATGTCTCCTGCATTGGCAGGTGGATTCTTTATTGCTGAGCCACTCGGGAAGCTCTCAACACTTTTTTTCCTTTTTCTGCCATGCCACATGGCTTGTGGGATCTCAGTTCCCTGACCAAGGATTGACCCTGAGCCATGGCAGTGAGTGCCTGGAATTCCAACCACTGGGGTACTAGGGAACGCCCGCAGTCAGCATTTGTTGAGCACTTACTATATGCTAGGCATGTAACCGGGCACTTTCGTGGCAGAGTCTCACCCATTTGGATGCGAGGAAGCGAGACTCCACAGCCTGTGCTTAGAATACATCAGCCCTGCTGTCTCCCACGAGTGAGGGGCTGGAGGAGCTTTTCAGTTTAACAGGTGTTTCCGGAGCACCTGTTCTGGGCCGGGCCCTGGTCCTGGAAACCAGGAATACTGGGGACCAAGACCTGGCCCCTGTCCTCAAATAGCTTGCCAGTCACAGTCCAGGGTGGTGAGGGGGCAGCCAAAGAGGGCATGCACAGAGGGGCTGTGGATGGAGGGTTGCATGCGTGGCCTCCAGCCCTAAACAAATTGGGGGTGATGCCAGCTTTGCTGCTCAGAAGTCAATAGTGGCATGACCCTGGGCAAGCCTGTTGGTTTCTCTAAGCCTCTGTTTTCTCTGCTTAGAAGTAATAGTCCCAGCTCAGACTGTAAGGAAGGGCCACAGCCTTGGGGGTGCTCATCATTTTTAGAGGCCGCATTTGTTTGCCTGGTAAGTGGTCCAGGGCACTGCCAGGCATGGCCTTGTCCGGAAGGGGCTCATATCGAGCAGGTGATCACTTGAAACCCATCCCCCTGACTGTGGTCTCTGCAGCCTCTGGGAGCTGGTGGAGGCTCATGGTAAAGGCTAACCAGGGTTTGGGGTTCACCAGGGTTCACTACCCTACTCCTGCATCAACCAGCTGGGTGACCCTGGGCAAGTGAGTTAATGAGCCTGGGCCTTAGTTTCCTCACATGTGAGATGGGTGAACCATAGAAAGTTGTTACGAGGATTCAATGAAATGCCATGTGTGATGTGTTGGGCATGGATTATGGCCACTGTGGGAACAGGAGGGCTTCCCGGAGGAGGGGATGGACTGAGCCGAACCTGGAAAGTATAGGGAAGGCCACTCTGGGGCACCGGACCAGCATGGGCAAAGGCTTAGAGGATGCCACCCACAACCTCCTCCTGGAAATCCAGGGACTGGCATTGAAGAGCATGGGTGGGTTCCAGGCCCTGCCTGTGTTTAGGATACTAAGGGAAGCCAGAACCAACCGGGGCCCACATTGGTGTGTTTCCAGATGAGATCCAGAGACATATCCGTAGAGGAGTGGAAAGGCTCAGAGACCTACAGCCCCAACACCGCATACGGTAAGACCCCAGCCCTGACCCCACCTGCAGGAGCTATGGGCCTCGGGTCCCGGTCACAGCGTCCTGGCCAGGCAGCCTGTCCTGGGCTCTTTCCCCACCTGGAGGCTATTAGGGGAGGATAGGCCCGTAGGTGCGGGGGGAGGCTGCAGGCTGGCGTGGGGATGTGAGCGCTTAGACCCTACTGCCCTTCAGGGGTGGACTTCCTGGTGCCCGTGATGGGCTATGTCTGCCGCATCTGCCACAAGTTCTACCACAGCAACTCGGGGGCGCAGCTCTCCCACTGCAAGTCCTTGGCCCACTTCGAGAACCTGCAGGTGAGTCCGGCCTCCTGCCCTGCCCCGCTCCGCCCTGCCCTGGGGGGTCAGGCTCCATCCGAGCTGACGGGAACAGCCAGTGGCCACCTCCTTCCTAGGCTTGGCCTCAGCCCCTGGGCACAGCCCCCAATGAGAGGCTCCACCCACAAAGGGAATCCGAACCAGGTTGGGGCTGAGGTCTTTTTGCAATTGTTCTGGAGCGGGTGGTGCTGAGGGCCGGAGGATTAGCACTAGAGGTCCAGCCCAGAGAGGCGAGCACGTCACACAGGGTCACACAGCCTGTCCGACAGTCTCAGCGGGGCCGGGGAAGCAGCCTGCGGCCAGGGGCACACCAGGTGGGGAGGAAGCCCGGACGTCACCCGCACTCTCTGTGTCCAGAAGTACAAGAAGGCCAAGAAACCCAGCCCCACCACCAGGCCCGTGAGCCGCCGGTGTGCCATCAATGCCCGGAACGCCCTGACCGCTCTGTTCACCTCCGGCGGCCGTGTGCCCAGCCAGCCCAGCACCCAGGACACAGCCAAAACCCCCAGCAAGGTGACGTCCACACCCCCTCGGCCCCCACTGCCCCGGCGCTCCAGACGCCTCAGAACCTGACGGAGGGAGCACCCCATGCCCACCCCATCTCGGTCCCGATCGGCTATGCTTTTTAGGAGTCTGTGTGGAGACTTTGATGTGGTTGGTATTTTTACTGAAAATCCAATAAAGGAAGGTAGTTTGGCCTGTATAGTCTCCACCAGCACTTCTGTCTGCATGGAAAGGGGAAGGGGGGCCCCCAGCCAGCTCTCAGCTGGCGCCCAGCCTCTGCAGATAGTGAGGAGGCACAGGTGGAAAGCTGAAGACAGGGTCCCTCACCAGGGACTCTGGGATTATGAGGTGTTTCACCTCCTGAGCCTCAGTTTTCCTCTTAAGCATGTACCCAGGCTAGGAAAGTACTGCCTTCAAGTAAGATCTCATTTAATCTTCACAGTGTCCCCAGGAGGTAAGTCTTGTTGTTATACCCAATTTACAGACGAAGAAACTGAGGCCTAGCAAAGTCCAGTGCCTGCGGAAGGTCATACATCTGGTGACAGGCCAGGATTTGACCCCAAGCCTGAGCTCTGGACGCCCATCCTGGCCTCTCTCTAGCTGGACCTTACCAAAGTTGGTGCAGGAGTGGGGGGTCCTCACTGTTCAGGCTCTCTGGCTCCAAGTTCATATTCATTAGCAGAGGCCCCACCCTTCTTGTCAGGAGACCTTATGATGAATCATTAGTGAGTGGAGCCCTGGCTGAGCAAGCTTTTTAGTTCTTCCCCATCTGGAAGGACCCTTAGAGACAGACAACCAGACCAGCCCTTTGATTGGCCAGATGGGGAGACTGAGGACCAAGACTGAGGATCAAGAGCTGGAGGGCAGAACCCAAGGCTACACAGCATATCTTGGTCTTGGTTGTCTTGCTGATAGGCCCTAGAGCCCAGAGAAGCTGAGCACATCACCCAGGGTCACACAGCATGGCTGATGCTGTCTCAGCTGGTCTGGGGGAGCAACCTCTGGCCAGGAGCATATCCAGTGGGGAGGAAGCCCTGACCTCACCTGCACCTCTGTGCCCAGAAATACAAGAAGGCCAAGAACCTCAGCCCCACCACCAGGCTTGCGAACCACCAGCGTGTGATCAATGCCTCCACTGCCCTGTTCACCTCTGGCGGCCACTGGGGTCCTCATCCCAGGATACAGAAGAGAGAGAAGGCACAGTGGTGTTGGAGACCCGTTTAATGTGGACAGTCAAGGCCTGGGCAGAGTGGGGAGCATCCAGGAGTTGGGCAGGCAGGCATGCTGGGTGAGCCGCTGGCCCACACCTGGCTCCAGAAGGGGATGCTGGGAGGTGGGGGCTGGCCCAGGCACACCAAGGGAAGTACCAGAAAGGTGGCCTAGGCAGGCAGAACCCCCAGGAGATCTGTCGGCCAGCCCCTGAGAAGGTATCTAAGCCAGGTGGTGAGTGTTCGGGCCAGAGCCTGGACCAGCAAGGCAGGGTTGGGGCCTGGCTGGGGGCCCCCAGAGCCTAGGGGTTGGCATCACTCGGGGTCTCCCCAAGCTGCTGCTGGAACTCAAGGCGAGTCTGCCGGTTGGATTCAAGCAGTTCCTGGAGGCGGGCATGGAGGTGGTCATTCTTCTCCTCCAGGTGGTCCAGACAGGAGTTGATCTGGTCCAACATGGAATTGATGGCAGCGTATTCTGGAAGGAAGGGGAAAGGCAATCAAGGTCCCATATCTCCTCAGGGCTCACAGGCGCCCTCCCCCCCACCACCATTGTCTGCCAGCCTGTTTCAAAAAGGGCTTCGGGCAAGTCCCTACTCCTTCTTGAGCCTCACTGTCATCATCTGGAAAATGGGTGTATATTGAAAGAAGAAAGGCATTGGAGAAATAGCTTAATGTGCCATCTTTTTCTAGGGTTAGGGTGGTCATAGGGAGGTCAGGCAGACAGTGTCCGGCCTGGGAAGTCCTGCCAGATGCCGAGTCTCTCTACTTCCTGCATCAACTGCCTAGAGGCCAGAGCCCATGCGCCTGAAGTCAGGCAATCCAGGCCTCTGTCCCCAGGCAGACCCAACTCTCTAGCCCTGCCTGGCTCCCCTGCCCTCAGAATAAGGTTCCTGGCAGACTCCCAGGTCCTGCTTCCTCCTCTTACCCCCCTCCCCTGCCTTCTCCCTTCTCTCACACCTGCCTTTGCCCACCTCAGGCCCCTTGAACCTGCTGTGGTCTCTGCCTGGAGTGTGCCGTGTCCTCCTCTGTCTTGCTTCCCTTCTCTTCTCCTGGAGGAGCCCCACCCATCCTTCAAGTGTAGCGCGGATGGTGCCCCAGCCTGGGTCAGGCCTCTATTCCTGACCCCCTTGCTCTCACAGCTCCATGGCCTTCATCTCCGGCTCGATTGCTGTGATTGTGTGCCGGTCTGTCTCTCCCACCAGACTGTAGTGAGTGCTCTGCGAGAGGGGTCCTGTGTCCACTGCTGTTTCCCCAGTACCCTCACTGTCACACAGTGAGCATTTGTTGAATGAATGGATGAATGAATGGAGCCTGACTTTCCAGCCTTCTGCCTTTTCTCAACTGACCCTGCCACCCTGAATGCTTCAACCACAACAGCCATTCAAGGACTAGCTCCAAATGCCTCTTCTTCCAAGAAGCCTTCCCTGGTCTCCATCAGAAACCATCACTCTCTCCTCCACTGACACTTCTCACCTGCCTCTCTCAGCAACACAGTGTCTCTTAGGACCCAAGGTCTGGGCCTGTGCCCACTGCAGGACCCAGTTCTGAGCCAGCCCATGACTCAGATACACTCAGCTGCCAGCTTGGGACAAAGGGGAAGTGGCTGGCGGTGTGTGGGAATGGCCAGCGTCAAAAAAGTGTGTCTGGGATAAGGGTGCAAAGGTTTCTGCCTTCTGGGGGAAGGGTACCCATTGGTCAGAGTTGTCCTAACTCACAGAGGACAGAGTCCTGGAAAGCCTCTGTTGGATCTAGAGTCCAACTCCCTTGTGGTACAAATGGGGAAACTGAGGTCCAAGAAGGAAGAGACCTGCCTAGGGTCCTGCAGCTGGTTGGTGGTGCTAGGGGTGCAGGGGCACTTGGGTTTCAGTCCCAGTTCCGCTCCATCCCAGCAAGTTACTGCACTTTTCTGGGAAAAGGTGACAAAAAGTAGGTTATTGTGAGATGTCAAATACATATATCAAGAATTCAGGGTCTGGCCATAGCAAGCACTTAGTAGATGGTCACTATTAGCAACATTTCATATTCTGGTCAAGAGACCCAAGTGGGGAGGAGGCTGGGGGAGGTGGGTGTCTCCACTCCTGGGGCTGGGCTTTGTCTGAATCAAGTGTCAAGGGTACCTCTCAGTTCCAAGTCTTTGCCTTCCGTTGAGGACACCCTCTTCCTTTATGTCCCAAGTCCTGTCAATCTGCCAACTTCCATTCAACATGACTCCTGGGAGGTCCTTCCAGATGCCCCCATCACAGCTCCCAGCACCTCACCTGGCTGCTTTTCTCCAGCAGTGCCCAGGGGGAAGTGGGCAGCCCACTGCTTACCCCATTCGCTCTACCTCTTTATTAATAAAAATGCAGATCTTGAGTGAGGAAGTATTCTAAAACTATTGTGGTCTTGATGGATGGGTGCACAACTCTGTGAATATCCTAAAACCCACTGAATTGTACAATTTAAATAAGTTAATTGTATAGTTTGTGCATTATCACTCAATAAAGCTGTTGCCCAAAACAGCCAAAAGCAGAGTCTATACTTAGCCCACATTTACTAAGTCCTGACCTCTAAGTTAATACACTAATCTTTATTACACTAAAGGGACTAACCATTTACAGAACACTTGCATGCTTGGAGCCTACTATTCATTCGTTTTCTCATTTAATCCTGATACATCTCAGTGTGGGTGGACACTAAACCATTATTCTTATTTTACAGATGGGGAAACTGAGTCTCCAGAAGGTGATAAGGGAGCTGATCTTTCTCTCTCCTTATCCAGCCTCCTACCTCCCCCACCCGTTCCCCCTCGCAGTGCTGTGCAGGCAACAGGATGCTGGGTAAGCAAGTCACATTCGCCTGGACTCCAGACCACTACCAGCAAAGGTGGCTGGGGATGCTGACTCAGTAGGGTGGCACGCCCACCAAGATAGCCCCTTGTGCTAACCCAGGAGGGTCCACACCCAGCCTTGCCCCCTTAGGAGTCCCCATCTCCACAGGGGCTGAAAGAGGTGGTTGAAGCAGGTCCTAATCCACCGCCCCCCCAAAAGCGAGTAATCCCTGAAGCGGCCTCAGTTTCCTCATCTGTAAAACAGGCTCGACTGACCACAGTTCTCTAGGAATGCGGTTTCCAGGGGCCAGCTCGCAGGTACTCGCCCCGAATTTCAGGAAAGCGCCTGCAGCTCCGGACCCTCCCTGGGGCGGGGGATGGGAGGGCTCTGCAGTTTCTTTCCGGCCCCTATTCCTCCTCCCAGGAGGGCACCCCCGAGAAAGCAAACGTCGCTTCAGCAGCTCCCCCCACCCCACCTCACCCCACCCCACCCCGAGTCACCTGCTTCCCCGAAGCCGTCTTCCTCGCCTTCCGCGCCCGCCTCCACCGGCGTGCCCAGGTCCCCGTTGGGGCCCGACATTGCGGGCTCGGGCGCCTCAAGGGCCGCGGGATGATGGAACGCGGCGACGGTCTCGCAGACTGCCGGCGCGGGGCGGAAGGTGGAGGCGGTGAATGGAACTCCAAGCCGGAAGGGTGGAACACCGCGGTGGAAAGCGCCGGGGCGGCCGGGACCCGCCCCTAAGGCGGAGCCCGGAGGCTGGAGCTCCGCCTCCACTGTGCCCTGCCTCCAGAACCCCGCCCCCGGCTGACCGCAAGGCTCCGCCCCCACAGAGCCCCGCCCACACCCTGCCTCACAGTCGAGCTCCGCCCACTTTGGCCGGTTTCCCCAGGCCCGCCCCTCTTCTGGCGGCCAAGTTGGACCATCCAGGGCGACCTCCAGGAGAAACTTAGGCGGTGGAGGCTCGGCCTTCACCTCGGGCAGCGACCTGGCACGAGGGAAGGGCCGCTGGGACCCCTACTCTTCCCTAGCTAGCGGGCGCCTGCCCGTGGGCGAAATCTGAGACGAGTTTCTAAGGCCCCAATGTATAGAGCCTACAATTTTTGCAGTAGTCATGTATGGATGTGAGAGTTGGACCATAAAGAAGGCTGAGCGCCGAAGAAGATGCTTTCGAACTGTGGTGTTGGAGAAGACTTGAGAGTCCTTTGGACAGCAAGGAGATCAGTCACTCCTAAAGGAAATCAACCTTGAATATTCATTGGAAGGACTGAGGCTGAAGCCAAAACTCCAATACTTGGGTCACCTGATGCGAAGAGCCGGCTGGTTGGAAAAGACCCTGATGCTGGGAAAGATTGAAAGCAGGAGGAGAAGGGGAAGACAGAAGACGAGATGGTTGAATGGTATCACCGACTTGATTAATATGAGTTTGAGCAAGCTCCGGGAAATGGTGAAGGACAGGGAAGCCTGGCATGCTGCAGTCTATGGGGTTGCAAAGAGTTGGACAGGACTGAGCGCCTGAACAAAAACAACCATGTATAGGGACAGTATCCATTCACAGCCTCCTTGAGAGTCATAGTCAGCAGAGTGCAGCTTATGGCTGTCAGTCAAGAAAGGCGTCGAGATAAGGTCTGCCCAGCTGCCATGATACCTTACCCTTTTTATCAGCTTGGAAAGGGAGCCCTGCCACAAGTCATCCAGCCAGAAATTCTCTCTTCTGAGCTGGCCCCACAGGTGTGATCCTGGCCAGGGACACAGCTGAGTCAGGCTCATGTCCAGGGGAGAGGGGCTTACTTACTGGGACTCCTGTCACTGTAACTGCTCCGAGGCCTGGTTCTGGTCTCACACTGGTAATTCCTGCCAGAAGGCCATCCTTCAGGTAGGGGTCAGGCCCAGGTGTGTTCCCTGATGATGACAACGAGGAGGGATCCTCTCTGTCCCAGAAGCTGCCTTGCTGTTTCTCCTGAGGAACATAGAGGATGCAGTTGTGTCCCCAGTCAGCACCACCGCTGCATTGCATGATGTCAGCCCCACCTTCTCCCTGAACCAGGTGGAGTGGAGGCGAGGCCCATGCTGAACCAGATGGGAAGAATTGTAGTGAACAATCCCTCACCTGGGTCAGCTCACCCTCCTTGACTATAAGGGGTGGGTACCTCTCCTCCCATTCCCCTACCTGCCAGGCCTCCACTTGCTCCCCACCACCTGAGGCACACTCCCCAGCCCTCTCTGAAGGTACTGTGCCCATGGATGGAGCAGGTGGCAGGTAGCACCCGGGCCACTCCTGGAGAGGGAGGAGTCTTGGCTTCGGAAGTGTGCTGGGAGTGTGCCTGGGGAACTGGGCACTCAGATGGGTGGACATGTGCCATCAGGTGTCCCCGAGCAAGCTCCATGCATGAGCGTTCCCAACCACCTGCTGCGTCTGTGTGGTGTGTACCCTACGTGTGTTGGCATGTTTCTGGGAACCTGTATGTCTCTCTGAAGGTCTGCTGCTCCTTGTGCCCAGGTGTCCTCCTGTTTCACCCCTTGTATGTGGACTCACACACAGAGTGGGCCCCTGTGATCCCAGGTATGATTTCACATCTGGGAGAAAACGTGCCTGTGTTTTTCTTTGGGTGTCCTGTGCTTGTAAGGATATGTGTGTGTGTGGATTGCGTCAGCATGTCCACATATGTCATCTGTGTTTCTGCCGTGTCTCTGCACACTTGTGTGCTATACACAGACGCAGGTGTTTCTGTGCCCATCAGAGGACACAGGGCTCTTCTGTCTTAGTGAAATACCATGGTCACTGGGAGGGCCTCTCACCAGTCAGCCAAAGGCAGGTGCCCAGCCCTCCTTTCTCAGCCTTGCTCACTCCTCTGCCAGGCATTCAACCCCCTCTTTCCAGGGAGACAACACAGCCCCAGACAGCACCACCTCCCCAACCCCAGGACTCCCATCCCATCATGGGAACCAGGTAGGGGAGGCCCTCAGCTTGTCCTCTTAGAAGTCAGACTCCATGGAGAACTGGGCACGACCCCCACCATGGTATTCAAGGAGTGGCCTTTCTTCTGGACCTGAGCGTGTGCCTGGGGCCTGGAGCCTGGGGCTAGAGATCTGGGCAGAGGGAGGCAGGTGGGAGGAAAGGAGAGGAGAACCCAGCCAAAGCCTCATCCCCAGGCAGTGAGTGAGGGTGGGAGGATGGGGAGCTGGATCATGCAGGTGATGAAGCCCGCTACCTGGCTGGCCCCTTCTCTACTCCCAGAAGCCAAAGCGAACCTGGACCCTGCCCACGCCACTCCTGTGGTCAAGGTTCACACACCAGACCACAGGACAATGCAGCCGCTACACCAGCCAGCCTCGATCAGAGGTGGGGACCTGTCCCTAGGGTCCCCGTTCACCTCTCACTCCCCATCTCACAAAGTCTGTCATCATTCCCCCCCACCCAGCGCAGTGTGGCAGGCTGAACAGCAGTCCCCGAAGACAACTGGGTCCTAGTCCTTGAACCTTTAGAGTCCCTTAAACAGCACAGAGATCAAATTAGTCAATCCTAAAGGAAATCAACCCTGAATATTCATTGGAAGGACTGATGCTGAAACTAAATCTCCAATACTTTGGCCACCTGATGCTGTGAAAGATTGAGGGTAAGAAGAGAAGGGGCCACAGAGGATGAGATGGTTGGATGGCATCACTGATTCGATGGACATGAATTTGAGCAAACTCTGGGAGATAGTGGTGGACAGAGGAGCCTGGTGTGCTGCAGTCCATGAGGTCACAAAGAGTTGGACACAATTTAGTGACTAAACAACGAGTCCTTGGAACCAGTGAATGGTACCTTATTTGGGAAAGGGGCCTTTGCAGAGGTGACAAAGTTAAGAATTTGAGAAAGAGAGATTATCCAGGATTATCACAGTTTAAAAAGGTGACTGGGTGGGTGTGCAAGTCTGAGGGTGGAGAAGCCTGGGTTTTTTCAGAACCCTGCCTCTCCAGCCTCTGATCTTGCAACTGGAAGAAGAGGCAGGAAGGGGGTTCCTGATGCCAATAAGGAGGGGCTCCAGCTCCAGCTTGTGGGTGAACAAGGGCTTGTCAGGCCCAGCCAAGTGGTGGGTGCAGGCCTGGAGCCCTTGAGTCTTCTAGAATCTGGATTCCTGATGGTGTATTCGCCTCCCTGTCGCCCCCAGCCCTGCCCTTGGTCTGGAGGTCATTATGGAGGGGGAGGCGTGGGTGAGGACAGGACGCTGAACGGGCTCAGCATGGTCACAGCCACCCACCAGTGGGAGCCAGAGAGTGATCCCTGGGCCAACCAGGGGCAGGGAGGTTTGGCTATCAGAGGGGCAGGGGACCACGCCTGAAGAGGTTCCCTCCCCTGGCACAGCCTCAGGCTGGGCGTGCCTCTGCCCCACACACTGTGCATCCCTCCTGCCCTAGCTGCCATCTTCCAGCACTCACAGGGGTCCTGAGGAAGTTGAGTGTGATAGCACCTCAGCCCTCGCAGCCCCCCTCCAGCTCCCCGTCCCTGGCTGAGCCTCTGCGGCGGTGCCTGTTGCAGGTGGCCAAACGTGGAAATGAGGTGTGACCCCTTCAGTGTTTCTGCTGGGCCAGTCACTCCTTGAAGTCAGGGTCATGTGAGGCCAGCTGCTGGCCTGGGGTGGGGGGCTAGGAAGGGTTCAGCCAAAGGACCCGAGGGGCTCCGGGAGCCATGCTGATGTGAGCCCAGCCTTTGCCTGTCGTCCTCCCAGCGGCCCAGGAGTTCAGGAGCACAGTCAAGCGGCACAGACTAGGGGCGGGGCATGTGTTTATTTAGCAGGCAAGGCGGGGCTGCATCTTCCGGGCTGCAGCCCAAGGAGCTGTTGGGGGCAGACCCGGAGAAGGCTCTCTGGGCTCTCTCCTGTCGCTGGTGTCCAGGCTGGTGGGGGGTTAACTGGGCGCTGGGCCAGCAAAGGCTGGCATGAGGCGGGTGGGAGCAAAGAGAGACGGGAGGCACCTGAGAGGGAGACGGGGAAGTAGAGACAGCAACTGTCCTGGGTGGGGGGGCACAAAGGTAGTTTGAGACCCCAGGCCCACTGCACCCCCTTGGCTCCCATCTGCCCCCGCTCCCCAGCCGTACTCACTGCAGGTTCACTGGTCATCGATGCACCGGTCTGTAGGGGAGAGAGTCTGTCAGAATGGGCAGGGGTGTGTCTATGTATGTGTGTGTGTGTGTGAGACTTCTGCCCACTGGGATGCCTGCCCTGCCCCTGGGCACCCCAGGCTCCAGCCTGGCCCAGCACCTGCAGATCTGGGGGTTCCATTCAGGGCTGGGAGCAGGGGTTTGGGAGGAAGGCCTCAGGATGAGCAGCTCGGGGGCATCCCGTTCAGAGCAGGCCAGCGAGGCCCTGCCACACATCCGCTCAGGCACCAGGCTGCCCACCTGTTTACCTGCTGGGCCCTGGCAGTCCCCCAGCTATGGGGGGCTGCTGGCTCCCTGGGCGGCCCGGCTAGAGCCCCATGCCCAGACCAGGCTGCCTGAAGACAAGGCCGCCTTTCAAGTCAGTGGTGAGCAGGCCTTAAGGCGAGGAGGAAAGGGGCCCCAGACAAGGGGGAGGGAGGAGGAAGTGGTCCCAGATAGTGAGGGCCTGGATCGTAGGGAGAAGGGGACCCCAGGGCCGAGAGACTGGGAAAATTTCTACGTGGGTCTGAAATCCTCATCTGTCAAGGAGGAACACTTGGGGCCCAGATCCCTGGGTACCCCTCAGATCTCTGGGTTGGGGCAGGGTCTTCCTGAACCCAGAATGGCTCCCAGGGAGGGGCTTCAGTGACAGAGCAGAGGGCCAAGCCCCTCCTCCGCCCCCCTCTCCCTGGGAGGCGGGGGGGACAGCAGTGGGCCTGGACAGTCCACACTGGCCATTACCAATCGGGATGGTGAAGACGATGTGGTCATCGGTGAGGCGCAGGGACTTGGCGAAGTTGATGAAGTTCTCCTTCACTTCAGGGGTCAGCTCCTTGGTCCTCCCTGTGGTCAAGGTGGCCGGCGAGTGGCCAGCAAACACTCTCTAAACATTGCTGGATGTATGAACAAGGCCTCTGACCCCTTCCTCATTGAGGGTCTGCAGAAGGGCCTCCCTCCCTGGACCCCTGCAGGGGCTCGGAGCTGAACTGGAGAGGACCTGGGGGGCTGGGTGGGGATGGGTCCCTGAGGTCGCAAAGGAAGGACCCACCATAAAGGGTGGTCTTGAAGTACCCCTGTTTCTTTTGAACCTTCTTGAAGAACACTATGGCAAACTGGTTGTAGTCGGTGTTCACCACCCGCACGGTGTAGCTCCTTACCCCGGGGTAGCCTGCGGGAAAGATGGGAAGGACAGGGAGGGGTCAGCCGCCCCCACTGGGAGGAGGGAGCCGCTTTGTTCCCCACCTGTCTACACGGGCTCTCCACACAGAACAGCATCCGTGTGGAGGGGCGGGGAGGACTGTGCCCCTTCTAGGAGGATCCTGCCGGCCCCCACCTCCTGGAAGCCCAACCCCAGGGCCCACCTCCCTCAGGACTCACTCTTAATATTGCCAAGGGTGAACTGGCCAGGCCGGGAGCTCGGGACAAAAGTTCTGATCCGGTAGTCACAGCCCTCGTCCCTGTGGGTGAGAGATGGGTGAGTGAGGGCAGAGGGGACAGGGGCTTGCGCTCTTGGGGCTGGACATGGTCGGGGCCAGGGCTGCAGCTGGAGGGGCTGGGATTCTGACACTCCTGGTCTGGCCCAGCCCAAGACAGCCCATCCCCCACCACAGCAGGAGGTCCCCTCCCCACCCAGCTCAGATGGGCCTCTGAGCCGACCCCTGGGTGTCCCTGCCTGGTCCTCCCTGGGCCACCTGACCCTGCTCAGATCCTCCCTCTAGCACCCACTGTCCTTTCCTCTTCAGGGCTGTCTCCCCTTGGTGGTCTTCCCTACACACTGTCCCCCACCCCATTCCTCAGGCATTTATCCCCTACTATCTTCCCTCTGCTGCTTCCCTGTCTGGAAACTCTCCTGGGGGACTCACCCTCCAAGGTTCCAGTCTGCTCCATGCCAAGGACTCCTGTAGCTCCTGGGTCAACCCTGACCTGAGTTCCACCCTCTCCCCTGGTATTCCGGAGCTTATCTCCCCAAACCCATCTTCCCTCTGCTTCTTATTGCACACATGCTCCAGCCTCAGTCTCCCTGGGTGCCAGAGAGGCTGGGTGATCCTTGGCAGCCACCGTTTCTCTCTCCACCACACCCAGAGTTTCCCTGCTCAGACCCACTCCTCACCAGATCACTTCTGCGCTGGTGTCTGAGGACCCTGGCAGTGTGTGGGCTGCCCCCCTTGCCAAGCCACTCATCAGCTCCTGCTGGGTAGCTGGATGATGACTTGCTGCTTCCTGAAGGGGTGCTTCCCTCTGACTCAGAGTCCACCAGTCCTTGCTATGGATACTCTATGCCTCCTTCCGAGGCAGAGTGGCTCCTTCAAAGGCCCAGTTCTGGAGGCTACCTCCCTGTAAACCCTCAATGAAGACCTGGGTGGGGTTCCAGGCTGGATTCAGGGACCCTCTTCCCCACCCAGGAGAACCCTGCTCTCTCTCTGTGTCTTGTTTCCTGATGCCTGTGTCCATGCCCAGCACTGTCTATCTGCACTGAAATGACCAATAAATGTTGATCTGATGAAGGAAGAGGGCTTCCCTGGTGGCTCAGTGGTAAAGAATCCACCTGCCAATGCAGGAGATGTGGGTTTGATCCCTGGACCGGGAAGATCCCCTGAAGACGGAAATGGCAACCCACTCCAGTATTCTTGTCTCGATAATCTCATGGACAAAGGAGCCTGGAGGGCTACAGTTCAAGGGGTCGCAAAGAGCCGGGCACGACTTAGCGACTAAACAATGCAGGAAGAAATGAACAAATATTAATATCTGAATCCACTGCTGAGCAGAAGGATGAGTGACTGCCTCTCCTCTGGTCAGCCCTTGACTGTGACATGAAATCTGCCTCTAGACACTCAGGCAGCCCCTCAGGTCTCCCCCACTTTCCCCACGGAGATGGCAACTCTTACCTTAATAGGGTGGAGGTGACGTTGTAGCTGCCGTCTTCCTTCAGCTCGTAGTTTGAGGTGTACATCTTAAACTGGTCTTGCTCTTCCTTCTTAATTGCATTCCCTGCCACGCCTATGACGTACCACTTCCCCTGGAACTACAGGGGGGACTGTAATAGGCAGAATCCACAAACCACCCTAGGGCCCCCTACAGCACTGTCCCTGCAGGCACCGCTGGCAGCTTGCCCCCGAGCCAGGAGCCCCTCTCACTGAGCAGCAGGCCTGGGGCTGGGCATTCAGTTCCTGGACTAGGAACTGAAGTAGTGGGAGCCAGTGGGAGCTGGGGGAGGCCAGGCAAGGAGGGAGCCCGGAGGATGGTAGGGATGGGGTGTCCTCCCTGGACCTCAGTTTCCTTCTCATGCAGAGGACTGAAGGTGTTCCCGTCATCCACTCACTACAGAGATGATGGGAGAGAGTGTGGACCTGGGGAAGATCTGTCCAGGTGATTCTCTTGCCAGCAAGGTCAGGGTCAATGCAGGGCCATGGAGCCTGGCTTCCATCAGGGGGCCGGAGGGCAGGCTGAGCTGAATGAAGCCTGGGCATCCTGCCCTTGCAGGTACGCTAAGACCCTTCACCTCCCGTCCCCTCTGCCCACACGCTTCCCTGCCTGCCCCCTGCCACTGTCCCTCCGGGGCCCTTACCTGGTCAGCCTGGAAGTTGGGCTGCAGCGGGATCTTGGACAGAGCTGGGGCCCGCAGCAGTCTGGGGGTGGAACTCTGGGCCTGGGTGTGCAGGGCCCCCAGGAGGGTGAAGCCCAGCCACAGGAGAGCTACGGACATGGTTTTGGGGCAGAAGAGGCCGGCAGTCCAGGCAGCAGCTAAAGGAGGAAGCGAGTGAGCAGGCTCTCTGGGGGGACCATATTTATGGTTCACCTGACCCGTGGCCCACCTCAGGGTGGAGTGATTCAAATTTTGCCAAATCCCGGAAGGGTGAGGCAACTGCCAGCACTCCTGCTGAAATACCTGGCAAGATTCTGCCCCTTTCCCCGCTGGTCAGGATTGTGCAAGACCAGGGGCCAGGGGGTGGGGAGGGGATCTTCCCCGGAGCTCCGCAACCTCTGGCACTGGCAGGGACAAGGGCTCCCTCCACACCCGCTCTGTGCCCCTTCCCTTCACTCTGCTTGGCTCTGTATGTGGTTGGTGGTCCTCGATCCAGACGAGCTGTCATCTCTGGCTTCCAGGAGCCCCAGCTCAGCCCTAGCCCAAGGTGGGATATGTGTGATGAGACTCCTGCTTCCAACCCCCCAGTGAAAATAGAGAAATACTCACCCTCACAGCCCATTTAGTCAAATAGGCCTGGTTCTCAGAAGGGACAAGGAAGTGTGGGGCAGCTGAGAGAATTCTGACCAGGAAGGACAGAGTGTGTGGTGTTAGCCCTGAGCTCTTGGAGCCCAGATCCTGCCCCCTGACCCCCGACCCAGGCCAGAGGCTGAAGGACACACGCCTTCCTCGAGTTGGCCCCTCCTCTCCTCCAGCCCCTAAAGTACTTGGCCCCTGCTGTGGGTCCAGTAGATGAGACCCCCAAGCTGGACACCAGAGCCCCACGTGTGGATGCTCAGCAAAGCAGAGCATGGATGCTACAGTCCAGGTGCCATGTTGGTGGGGTTGGGGGACAGCACAGGGTGAGCTGGGGCCTGAGGTCAGGCTATCCACTGGGCTGCTCTGGACACCAAGTGCTTTGAGTCACAGGGAGTGCAAGGACTTGGTCCTGTCTTTTTATTTTTTTTTTAAGATTTTTTTTTTTTAAGGTGAACCATTTTTAAAGTCTTTAAAGTCTGTACTGTAACAAACAGTCATTTGTTACAATACTGCTTCTGTTTTATGTTTTGACTTTTTGGCTGAGAGAGGCACGTGGCAGGTGGGATTCTGGCTCTCCAACCAGGGATTGAACCCCGCCCTACCTCTGCATTAGAAGGTGAAGATATTTTTCTTTTTCATTTATTTCATTTTGGCCACACTGGGTCTTCTTGCTGTTCAGGGACTTTCTCTAGTTGCAGTTAGTGGGGGCTTCTCTTTAACTTTTTTATCTCAGTGGCTTTCCTTGGTGCAGAGTGTGGGTTCACGGGCTTCAGAGTGCAGGCTCGGTAGTTGTGGCGCTTCAGCTGGGTTTAGTTGCCCTGGGGCATGTGGGATCTTCCCGGACCAGGGATGGGACCCATGTTGTCCCCTGCCTTGGCAGGCAGATTCTTAACCATGGGACCACCAGGTGAAGAAGATGAAGTCTTAACCATCGGACCGCCAGGGAAGTCCCCTTGACCCTCTCTCTGAGAGGTCATTAGGCCATGTGCAGACTCTGGCCACAGTCCAGTGGCCTGGGCCTGGAACCCCAGAAATATCCCTGCCATGGCTGATCCCAGCTTTGTCCTTGAAGGGAGGCAGTTTCCTCCCTGGTGTCCTGGCCATCCCTGGGAGGCAGTGGTGAGTCCCAGTCCCTGGGCAGAGTCACCCAAATTGCTCAGCGAGTGATAAGGTCATCTGGAGGCCTGATCTGTGGCCGAAACTGAGGGTCCACTGGCCCCAAATAAGACTGCCAGGGGCCTCATTGACTCTCCCCACCTGCTGCTTGGAACCAGCTCCCCCGGCCTGGCTCTGGGGTGCCGGGCCCTGAGGGAAGAGGCTTTGGAGGGGTCCTGAGCTGGTGGGTGGGTTGGATCCTCCTGAGGCAGAGAGGTCCCCACAGGACCCCTGGCCCCTCAGGCCCTGCCCTCTCCAGTGGTGAAAGCACAGGAAGCAGAGATGAGCAAAGCTTCTTCAGGATGTTACCATCGAAGCCCGCCCGCGCCCTCCCGAGGCACCAGAGGCCATCCCACCCCTTTCGTCCTTGCTCAAGGCCCCAGGGCCTGCACTGCTGCTGCTCTCTTTGACCTTAAAAGGAATCCTCGAGTCTGTCGTTGGTCAGTTGCTAAGTCTTGTCCAATTCTTTGCAATCCCAGGGACTGCAACACGTCAGGTTCCTCTGTCCTCAAATTCATGTCCATTGGGTCTGTGGTGACTGCTAGATGTCAGGGAGGCTGATGGATGGCGCTCCAAAGAATTTAAGTCGGAGAGGGGCAATGCCTTGGATCACCAAGGAACCACTGCAAGGAATATTCTAGATTCTAAAAGTCAGGTTACTCTTAAAAAAAAAAAGGAGTGGGTCCTAAAATAAAAAAAAAAAAAACTAACGAATGAGACAGAGGGAGGGGTGACCTGTTCTCTTCAGTGTTTTAAGATTTCCCATTGACGTCGATAACCAATAAATGTGAAGACCTGATCTGATTGAGCAATCTCAAAAAAAAAAAAACAAAGTCAGGGTGAGAGAATTCCCTGCTGGTCCAGTGGTTAAGCTGGGCGCTTTCACTGCTGCGGGTCTGCGTTCAACCCTTAGTCTGGGAACTAAGATCCCGCAAGCCAGGCAGTGTGGCAAAAAATGAAAAATAAATAAAAGTGAAGGTGGCCAATGCTCCATGGGTATAAATTGGGGAGGGGGGTTTGGGCTGGGTCTGCAACATGTGAAAACCAGGACCTGGAGCAGGAGTGGGGATGGGCCAGTTGCCCAGCTCAGGGGCCCCTGTTTGAATCCTGACTCCTCCAGGTGTTTGTAAATCTCTGTCCACTTATCCCGACCCCGTCAGTTTCCCCCTCCATAAAGAGAGCTTCCCAGCAGATCCTGTGAAGCCACGTGGCCGGTGCACATACATGGGGTCACCTCTGAGCTTCTGAACAAACCCTCACGGGGCCCATCTCTCTGTGCTGGCTATAAGGCCTTTTTCAGACCCGCTGGCCTTCTCTGTCTCCCGGTCCTTATTTCTGTGTGGTCTCGGCCTTTGCTGACACTGGTGATGGCTTTACCCTTCATCACCTGGCTGCCACTGCCTTCTCCCCTGGCTCAGCCCTGAAGGTTGGCCCAGTCCAGGAGCCAGGGGAAAGGTGAAGTGGGTGAGGCTTGTACAGAGTCTCAGCGGTGTGCCACGGTGCCAGCCATACCTCGTGGGGGCCGAAGGATGGTCGTGGCCTTGGCCAGAGCAGATGTCAGGCCAATCCCAGCCAACAGGAGGTGGGTTTGGGGATGTGTGGAGCTGTAGGGGCGCAGGGGATCAGCCAGGGTGCTTGCTGCAGTCTGCCTCAGGAAGGGAAGGGTCCTGTGGGCTGGGCTGGGGATAAAGGTCCTGCCCACCCTCTTCGGAGTCCAGCTGGGCTTCGGGGATGGGTCAGCTCAGCACGCATACTGCCTTGCATGAGCTGCAGACCCAGGTGCTAGGAGGGTTGGGTGAGGATCGTGGTGTAGACCTCCTGTTTAGACTTGGACCCTGGAGGCCTCATTCCTCACCCAGCCCCCTCCCTCTGAACCCGGGCCCTGGCCAAGGAGGGCACTCGCATGTCCACCTTGCCCAGAGCCGGGAGCAGTTCTTGAACTCCAGGGCTTCAGAAAGTTCTGAACTGCACGCCTGGCCCCGTGTGGGCGCCCCAGGTGCCTGCCTGACTCCCCTTGGCCTCTGTCTTGGTTTCCACTGTGGCTCCTGGGCTGGTCCTACAGGGCCACCCTCGCTGGCTTTCCCTACCGTCTCTCTAGGAGCTGCAGATGCCCTGAGTGAGGCCATGACCAGCACACAGGAGTCTCGGGGCCAAGCCCCTCCTAGGAGAAGCCAGGGCTGGACCTGCTCTGGGTCTCTTTAGCAAAGGCAGGAACTTAAAAACCACCCACACCTGCCTCTCTGTGGCAAGAGGCCAGGAGAAGCATGGCTGCTCTGAATTTGTTCTGGCAGGCAGCTGTCTCCTCTACATGCCCCGGGGAGAAGCTCCCGGGGGCTGCTGGTGTGGTCTCATCCAATCAGGAAGTCAGTCAAATGCTCTCTGAAAGGTTTTGCATCTCAGGAATCCAGTCTAACCTCCTGGACTCGTTTCTGGAAGCTTGGGAGCCATGTTCCGTCCAATCTGGGGTGTTTGGGGCAAAAACAGCCCTCTCTCCCCGACTTGAAGGGCTGAGTGTGAGGACCCCAGGCAGGAGCCACGAGGTTCCCCAGAGCGGGGCCACACCTGGGAGCAGTTTGCAGGGAAGATGCCCCCAGGAGGCCAGTCATAGGGGCAGGAACTCTTGGGGTCCACCGATGGACCCTCCTTGGCCACTGCAGGTCTAAGAAGGAGGAAGGACTGTTCGATGTGAGGGGCCTGCTCTTCCCGGGACTTGACTGGAATCTCAAGATTCCAGAAGCAACTTTCCAACCCCCATCACTCATCTCTCAGCCAAGGCTCACTGGAAGATCTCCTGGTTCCTGCCCTCTCCACATACCAGAGACCCTAGCTGTGGCAAAGCTCAGAAAGGCAGCCCCTACTGACACCCCCCCACCATATGCCCCCAGATTCCTCACTCTGGGGAAGTCTGTGGGGTCTACCAGGCAGCAGCGGCAGCAGCAGCGTGAGGTCTGGGCCCAGGTCCTTCTGCTTTTGGTCCTCGGGCGCCTGTCCCACGCATGCACCTTAGATGGATGGTCTTGCCATTCAGTGCAGGGCCTGGACTCTCATGCGGGTGAGAGGGCCTACGATGACCACTAGGCGGCCAGCAGACTGGAAGCCACTGCTCTGAGCTTCCCTGGTGGCTCAGAGGTAACGAATCCGCCTGCAATGCAGGAGATGAGGGTTCGATCCCTGGGTCGGGAAGATGCCCTGGAGGAGGGCATGGCAACCCACTCCAGTATTCTTGCCTGGGGAATCTCCATGGACAGAGGAGCCTGTTGGGCTACAGTCCATGGGGTTGCAAAGAGTCAGACAAGACTGAAGTGACTGAGCACATATACATATTC